GACATTTCCTTATATGCCAGTGGAGGGAAAACTACTAAGTGTGAAATAAAATAATCTATCCATTTACTCATATTTAATGGCTAGTAGATAAATTCAGATTCCAATACGCTTAAAGCAGTCTCTTTTAATGATGGAAGGCAATATATATATGAACTTTAGGTGGGGATTTAGCTCAGTGGCACCATTCCAGCCTCACAAGCGCAAGGTCCTGAGTTCGATTCCCCCATACCAGAAAAAAAACAGATGATATATATGAACTTTATTAAATTTAGTTTAAAATATATTATTTCTTTTTTAATATGTTACATATTAGAGAATTATTATTACCTATACTGAGGATTGAACCCAGGGCCTCATCCATGTACACTATTTCTGAGCTACATTTCCAGCTTTTTTTATTTTTACGTTGAGACAGAGCCTCAGTAAGTTGCCCAGGCTGGCCTTGAACTTGTGATTCTTTCTGCCTGAGCCTCCTGAGTAGCTGTGATTATAGGCATGCACTATTGAGCACAGCAAGGAATTGTTTTAAATAGAGATATGACATGTAGCAAAATTCACCATTTTAAAGCACATAATTGGTTTCAATAGGGTCAGAAGGCTGGGTAACAATCGCCATTGTCTACTTCCTGGAAATTTCACCACTCCTCTCCCCTCCCAAACACCTGCACCCATTAGAAGCCACTCTTCATCTCCAGCTATGCCCTGGCAACCACTAACCCACTTTATGTCTTTATGAATTTGCCTCTTCTAGATATTTCATATGAATGGAATCATACTATACAGCATTTTATAAATGGCTTCTTTCACCTTAGGTTTACAAAGTTTTTACATGCTGTGGTATACATCAATATTTCATTCCATTTTGTAGTTGAATAATATTTTGTTGTATGCAACACTACATTTTGATTGTCCATTCATCAGCTGATAAATCCTTTCACTGTTTCCACTTTGGAGCTATAAAAAATAATGCTCTTATAACCATTCCAGTACAAGTTTTTGTAATGGACATATTTTTTTCATTTCTTGTGAGTGTACATTTAGAAGTGAAATTGCTGGGTCTTGTAGTAACTCTAACTTCCTGCAGAAGTGCCACAGTTTTCCAAAGGAACTACACCAACTTACATTCCCACTAGCGATGAATGATGGTTCCAATTAATCTGTATCTTTGATAACACCTGTTACTATCTTTTTTATTGTAGCAACCATAGTAAATATGAAGTATTATATTGTTTTTTGAGTCATATATCCCTAATGGCTAATAATGTTAAATATCTTTTCATTTATTTACGGGCTATTTGTATATGTGCTTGGAGAAATGTTTATTCAAGTTCTTGTCCTTCTGAAAACTGAATTTTTGTTTTTTTGTTGTTGAAGTGTAAGAGTTTAAACTGCATTTTTATTTTACTTTCTTTATTTTTGAGATACAGTCTTGCTCTGTTGCCCAGTCTGGCCTTGAGTTCTTGGGCTCAAGGAATCCTCCTGCCCCAGCCTTCTGTAGAGTTGAGATTATATATTATGTGCCATGATGCCCAGCCTTGAAGTGCATTCGTACATGGTTATATTTCACTGACAAGAGTCAGAGAGAAGGTTGGGATGTATTAAGGGAGAACTGGATCCCTGAATATTGTCAACCTATTAAATATACTATGGCTTCAATCATTATTTAACATCTCTTGCCTACCAAACCTGCTTTTATCTCTTCTGATCGCTAAAATTCTTATTCTTTTCATCTTTCTCATCATGGTCAGTATTAAACTTAAATTACCCATCTTTGGTTTCTTTCCTCATTGCTGCAATGTTTTCACTCACTCTGATATGGGTCACATTCTCCTCCGGCCTCTCTATTTCTATGACCAGGGCACATCCAGACCCTCACTGAATCCCACTTAGATTACTTTCTTACTTCCAGTTTCTTCTCTCTCAAAGCCATTCTATATACTGCTATCATGTATCTTTCTAAAGCATAATTCTGCTCACATCCCTTTCCTGCTCAAAAGTTTGTACGGTCTGGTCCCAGCCTACTTTTCTTTCTTCCAGTTCCTAAACCACAAATAAGCTACTTTGGGCTCCCTCCCTCAAAATTCATGATTACTATAATCACAAATTTGCTTATTTGTTATACGTTTTAAAAAGTGTTAATGTGAAAAGAAGAATTAAGTAAAAATATCAAAAGAAAATAAAGGTAGCTATTCCATAGAAAAATGAAGGTAGATCTTAATATCTATTCCCAGTGTGGTTCTTAGTATTCGAAATTCTCTGGAGAAAAAGGTAAGTTGCACAAAAAGAAACAAATACATAAAACCACCAACTGCATTAGAACTATTTGAAATAATGAGAACATATATTTGCATTCTATATCAAATACATATGAGTTAAAATTGTAGACCTTTCAGTTCTCATGTACTTCTGGGTAACAGCAGTAGTATGTATTGTGTAGTTTCACACTGTCACATAGCAAAACTGCTTTTTGTTTGTGGTAAATATTTTTTCCAACATAAAATACCATCAAATGAATGCAGATGAAAATTTTTATAGAACACTAAAGATAAACAAAAGATAAAATCACAGGGCCAGATATACCATTGTAATTTTAGGATTCTATCAAACAGCAACACAGAGGGAGGATATGAAAGGGAAATTTTCCTATAATTTTATCTATGAAATATTTTAATATTCAAACATGAATATTGAATTAATTAGGAGTTTAAAGGAATGTGACCAATTATTCTATAACTTAAAGGTCATGTAAACTCATATACACAATGTGTAAGCTACAAACGAAACCAAATACATAGGCAAACATATTTATACTTTACCCACAGAAACCTGTGAGTATAATTTGGACACTAAAAGAACTGATGGTCAAAGAAAATGTTTTCTAAAATCCAGGACAAATATAACTGCTGAGATTGAGACAGAAGAAAAGGCTAACAAAACAAGCGATGTTTTCCATTTTATAGATTTTTCTCTCGGGCATAATTATAAAGTGACATTCAAGTGCAACCAATGAAGTCCCTATTTTTTTCCCTCACAAAATCCAAAGACATCAGCAAAACCACCTATGTCATAATAAAAATAAAAAGTCTTTGACTTTTTAAATGTTATCATACTGTCACAGTGGAATAAAATTAGTTTGAAAAATGATCTGAAGGCACATGACGCAGTTCATTATGTATAACAGCAACAGCAGCGGTTTCCCTGTGTTCATAAAGCCTGCTCCATTAAATTTACCTCCAGTCAATAATTAGGAGTCCACAAATAAACCTGGGCAATTAAATCAATACCACCAGGCAATTATATTCCAGAGTCTAGGCTCAGTGGCACAAAAAGGCACTATATCAAGCTGCAGTATTAAGTAGTCTGATGCTGTTTTCAATGGGATTTTTTTTATACTAACTGGACAGAATAAGCACATATCTAGATAATGTAGGATGTGTGTACATACCTCTATATATGTTAGCCAAAATAAGCAGGTCCTGTGTCAGTATAACTAGTAAAATTTAATAAAGATTTATACATATTGATTATTCTTTATGCTCATATATGATGATAAACTTTCTAAAAGACATACAAGGTCATACTTACATGGTGAACACTTAAAAAAATCATTCAAAGGTTTATTTTTATCATCTTCAAGCTGGAGGGAAAAACACCTCACAAAGTCAGTACTGAACTCCCCTATGAGCTGAGTCCTGGTGCACATGACACGACTCGAGTGAGAATGGTCTTGCTTCTCAGAGGCAGGCTGTCCCTGCAGAGGGTTTTGTTGAGTGCCTGCACATCTGGACCTCGACAACTTTGAGCAAAAGACTGCCGATTACCTTTCATTATTACTGAAGTGATTCCAGATATTTCAAAAAGACATAAAACTGATGTTAATACGAATAACTTATACACTTTATTTTGTCTTGATTTAACCAAAAACACAGAAACTGTTACTTGTTAATATAAGTGTAAAACAATTAGACTTAGTATCAGCTTCTGTTTTCAATCTTTACAGAGAAGCATTTATAATATCTTTCAAAAAATCATAGGACAGTTATTTTTGCTATTTTCACAAATATGTTTTAGCTTTTGTTTATTCCTGATCAATTCTGAAATAAACAATTGGAATGAGCAAAAAACTAATGAAAAAGTTTTAAAATACATTACATGCTGTCAATGATTTCAAAACAAAAGCTGGCTATGACTAGCAAAGCAGGGCTCTCACCTGCCAATAAACTGCCCTTGATCACTTACAAGAGGGGCGCATCCCAGCAGACTCTATGTGTATTAAAAAAATACTTGAAAGGGAAGAGAAAGTACCACACAGGTCACAGCAGCAGTCTCAATAGACCCCTCAGGGATTTCCACTCGTCTTGGCCTTGTCATTCTCTATGCAGCTTTCTACTCAGCCCAGAAAACGTCGATAGGAAAATGTTTGAGGGGCCTCTGGTGGAAATTTTTTCATTCTTTCTGCATTGACAGGATGCCAAATCAATATTTACTTCCCACTAACAAGCTGCTCGAGGTCTCAGTAGAAAATATTGTAGAGAGTGCGGGAAGACACAGTAATAAACAGCTGTCTGGCTGTGAGGAAAACATGAATTGACTGGAAACAGGTCCACAGTAAAAGGTCACTGAAACCATGAACTCCTCAGGTGTCCATATCAACTACTAACTTTAAAGACACATAACAAAGAATCTGCTTTCCTAAGAGGTCTGAGAGAATGGATCCTTTTCAGTCTGGCAAGCACAGAAACTGACTCAATAATTTAATTAATGCATTTGCTAAGACTCATGTTGGCTCTTTCCCAAGGCATTTGTTTCATTTGTTAAGTCCAAAAGCACAAATAGAGGGTTAACTTTCCTGCCTACCTTTCAGGATAATTCTTTACCTAAAAAGGAGTAAGTAATGGGTAAATGTTTAGAAAAAGTTAGACTTCTAGTAAAAATGTAAGGCTTATATTTTTATTTGGAAGTTTTACTGTATGAAGCGAAAAAGAGAGAAAAAAGAATACCTGTCCTTCAAGAAGTTTCTGAATGTACATCAGCCATTCTTTGTCATTTTCAGCATCTATCTTTGTCCTTTTCATTTCCTACAAAGATGAAAATACTGGTGTTGATATTCTTATACAACATGGTCATACTATTGGTTACTGAATAAATCTACAGGGTGACCAGTAGAACAATTTTTAACAAAGAGCTGCCTGTACTCTCAATGTAGGAATATTTAAATTCATGCTCTTTAATATTTAATTTATAAGTGTTCCCTTACATATGGAAGATAAAGTTATACTTCTGTATTTCACAATAATTTAGGAGTACAGTATTATATTTCTGCTTTCATGGTGCAGCTCAAGATATAGACTGAGATGCCAGCCACTTCACACAGGTGGTCAGTTTTTTAAACAAATTTATTGCAGTTTGATGCAGTTCAAAGAACATAAAAGTGGTGGTCTGGGCTTTGGTTGGGCAAGACACTCGACACCTTATTTCGCTACAAAATGCAGGGATCATTTTAAATAGCCCTAGTCTGTAATTAAATCTAGGAAATATGTTAAGGTTCATTGATCCTCCTCAGAACAGTGTATTTGTACTTGAGTCCTTTTTCTTCATGAAGGCCTTCATTCAAGGTTATGTGGGCTGCAATATTACAGTGCTGTATATTTTGATTTCACATTGCATCTGCCAAGAGGTGTCATTTTTTCCACAGAAATGCATCATCTAGTCTTTGGAATTGTAATGAGAGGTATGTAGTTGAAGAAAAAAAATTTAATTTGACAATTAAAAGGAGATGCCTTTTTCTAACTTGTCAGCTTAGAGAAGGCATCCTTTTGGAAACCTACTAAAGGCAATGCCTTGGAAGTACAGAATCTGCACAGACTCTGTGTATTAAGTACCCTGTGCACACAGACACACATACCCACACAAGAAATTTTGCTGTATCTGCTTATGTTAGAACTCTAGACATGAGTAGCCTCGATCTTAACTTTTTGGGAAGTTTTTCACTATTTATTCACAAATTTTAATTTCTGTATATAGCTCACATATACTCACAATAAATACATTTTTTCAACAATGTATCTTCAAAATATATATTGATCAACAATTTTAGGTTTAGCTGAATAATATTTAGCTGAGAAAAACCCAGGTTGAGGGTGTAATTCAGAAGTGCCAGCCCATTATGAGTGAGGACCTGGGTTCTAACCCCAGCACAGCCAAAACAAACAAAAAACAAAGTGAAACATTATATAGAATCTCACATACGAGATACAGCTTAACTACATCCATTCAAACTGACTTAATCTAAAATACTAGTTTGGAAGCAATGTAACATAATTAATTAAAGAAAATGGAAGAAACAGGAAAAGAATAACTGGCCAAAATGACAAGCAATTCAAAATATATGTTGAGAGTTGTTTCTATATTACACAGTTAAATTTCTCTAAAAGTTTTTTGAGTTGGTTAATATTGGATGTATATCATTACCACATTAATCTTACCTTCACAAATGTAATCTTAATGATGAAATTCTAAGAATTATAAAACAAACAAAATATGCACTGAATGTGTAATAAGCCACTTATTAGTCAATATTGAAATGACATTACCACTTCATCTTCTGAGTCCAGTATTTCCTCAAGATCTGATCGTGAAATGTTCAGGATAGACGCTGCCAAGGTCTGAGCTTTATGTGTTGAAGTTTTACAAGCTTCTCTGTTTTTCTGCATTTTTTTAAGCTCTCTGATTTTTTGTCTTATCACATGGACATCGTTTTGTAACTCTTTGACCAAAGCCTGAAACATTGGAAAGAACATGGGTTCATAGGGAAGTCATAATGAAGACAAAGCAGTCCTAACATAAAAATGTGAAAACAGTAGCAAATCATTTTTATTTGGATTATTCTCATTTTATTTCACTTGGAATATAATGGACTACTCTTTACTTGTTGGTTTGCAATAAAAGCTGTTTTAAATGACCTCTTAACCAACTTGCTGGATCAAGCTGTCTCTCAGATATACTAACTGGTATGTTGCTTGTATGCTTGTTGGCTACTTTAAATCATGACAAAGCACAGTTACTTCCACTAGTTGACCTGATTCCAAAAATTGGTTCTGTTTATCCCTAAATATGTACAGATCAGTGGTAACAGGTTGTTACATAATTTATTTAACTATAACTTAAACTGATGAAAGATGACTGCAAAAAGGCTTGTTTCTATTTTACTAAAACTGAACTAGAAATCTTTTGGAAGGACTTGAGAAAGACAAGTTAGGTGGACTTTCAATTAAATTGTATGTAGGCAAGATGATAATAATGGATTGGAAACACATAGTAAAAAAAAGCTAGAATTGCCTCCCCAAAGTCTTTCAATTCCCCCTGTGAGGAAAAATGCCTGCCCATAACATTTTCACATGTGCATTAGAAAAAGCTATCTTTTTTTTGCTTCCAAAACATAATTTTTGTCAGTGAAAGCATTCCATTTATTAATCACATGCTGAGCCAGCACTCCTCAAAATTATTATGACATTAACAAACTATAAGCACAAAAACTACTCCTTAGAAAACAGAGACTCTTTGGTCTAACAGAGTAGGGATCCAGTTCTTCCATCAGCTGATAGGATGTTGATAATGCTGGTGCTAATAACAACAATGACAATCACAGCAGATACCATTGGCTGTCAAAATAACTTATTGAGCCTTTAAGTACGTAAGGCATTCTACTAGATGTCTCACATATGTTACCCCTACTCCTCCCAACTCTTGTCTTGTTTTAATTTTAGTTTATTGGTACATGTGTATAATACATAATGTTTACATTCCTCATGGGAAGTTGGTACATATACATAACACATATTAATTTCTTACTCTGGATGGACTGAGTTCTGAGTCTCAGTGCATGGTTTATGAATTGCGAGGAAGTTAAATTAGATATTTGGACTATTTTCAATCTTTTACTAGCTCAAGTAATGTTGCAACAAAAATGGTGCTCATGTATCAATTTTGTACCTCTAGGATACATTGCTAGAAGTGAAACTGCTGTACCAAAGGGTATATAAAACTGTAATCTTAAAATTTTTCCTCTTTCTGTCCAAGATACTATTTTTACCTCCAAAAAGAATCAATGAAAATACCTATTTCTCCACATCATTAGCGAAATATTAATCTGGAATTTTAGTGTATTTTGTCTGGTTTCACTGTATTTTAACGTTTTATTTCTCCTATTATGAAGTTGAGAGTCTTCCTTGAGATATTGTATTGTATGTATGAGACAAATACAAACCATGATTTCTCCCTGCTATTTTCAGGTTTTATTTTTCAGTTTTAAGTATTAGCTCTATTTCTTCCAGTGATTTCATTAGGTGAGTCTCAGCTTTTCATTCTGTTCTATTTCTCTTTTTATTAGTAAAACTTTGTACTTTAATCAGCAAGACTGAATAATAAATTTTAACATCTTTTAGTACTCTTATTACTCTTCTTTTTGTTTGTTTAATTTTCCTATAACATTCAGCTTGTCTGGCTCAATCCCTCACTTCATTATTACAGCTAATTTTATATGAATCCTGCTAAATTTTATTGCAATTCTGTTTTAGATTGTTTGAATTATTTTAATATTTTCAGATGTTGAGTCTTCCTAATCAAAGAACATATTATTCTCTTTCATTTAAGTATTCATTTTATTTCTAAGGATCATTTTTTTTCAAAATACAATACCAACATTTATTCATCTTTACAACACCCCTGTGAGGTAGGTCAACACATCTTTTATTTATAAATTTAGTTTACTCCTAGGCAATTTATTTTATTTAACTTGGCCAATGATTATAGCTTTTATATATGAATACTTTTACCACATAGTTATCATACTGAATTTATTTGTTATAGGAGTTTTTTAGTTGTTGCCTTTTTAGTTTTTTCAAATTGAATTGTATCTGCAAAGACTTATAATTTTATCTCCCATTTTCCTGTCCTTTTTTTTTTTTTTTCTACTGAGGATCGAACTCGGGACCTTGTACTTGTAAGGGAGGTGGTGGAACCACTGAGCTAAATCCCCAGCCCTTCATTTTCCTGTTTTTATACCTCTAGTTTCTTTCTGTCTTCCTATTTCACTGGTTAAATCTCCTCTGAACAATTTTAAATAATAATATTGATGAAAATACTTAACTTGTTCTTCATTTTAGTGGGACGCTTTCTATTTCCTAGGAAACAGTATACCAGCTTTGAGTTGAAATATATTTTAAGAAAGTAATATTTTCTTAAGAAATTTTTTCCTAAGTAATATTTTCTTAAGAAAACTATATTTTAAGAAAGTAATTATATATATTTTGCCTATTTTCTAGATAAATGGATACTAAATTAGCTTCAATGCATTCTAGCGTCCATATAATTTACCATATTATTTTCCATCACAAATTTATTAATGATTAATAACCTTGATATTGAATTGTTCTTGAATAACCTCCATTTTGTTATATCATTTTTTGATGTACTGCTGGAAAAATTTTGGAAGGTATCTTTCTCTTTCCATATTCTATATTAATTTTAATAAAATTGAATTTATCTATCATTATTGCTGTAGCAACATTAACCTGCATTTGGCCTAGTATTTATTGCGGGAGATTTTTTTTTAACTTTAGCTTTTTCTTTAGTTTTTATTAATGTATGTTTGCAGGACATAATAATTTCATGTATTATGGGAGTTTGTGCCTGTACATAGCACATCTTGATACTACTTTGGTTCCCTTCCCCCTCAATCCTCCCTATTTTGATTTGCTATTTATTAAGGAATGAGTTTTGATATAATATATATTCCTAGAAAATTATCCATTTAACCTAGGCTTTCAAATTTATTTGCAGAGTTAGCTAAGTAGTCTATAATTTTTTCCTTGCATCTACAGCTATTTTCATGTACCTCTTTTTTTTTCTTTTGTATGGAAGTACTTTTATTTTTTCTTAGGTAACCTGAAGCCTAATTAGGTAAGCTATTAGTTTTTTAATTCTACAAACTAATTCATTAGTTTCTATTTTTGTTTTTAAATCTGGTTTTCATATTAGTTGAATATTTATTTTCATGTCTTCTTATTATGTATACAAAGTATAAAAGTTTTTTCAGCACTGTTTAAACTGTATCCTACAGTTTCTTATCTTAAAGTGTGACTGCTGTAGGGATATTTTGCATTTTGTTCAGCTTTTCTCTTTAACCTAAAACTTAAAAAAAAACAACTATGAAGTAGTGATTTCTGTTCTCTGGTTTTGCAATTAACTCCAGTTTTATTCCATGCTATGTACTACTTACAAATTGTACAAAGTTAACTTACTTACAAATATCCACAGTAATATATTATTTATAGTATTAATAGAAAGTTATCTGTACTATTTCTACCTTTCAGAATTGAGATTTCCTTTGGTGTGTCCCAAGTGGAATCATGGAAAAAGACTGTGAGATGAAGATTTGTGTGCAGAAGGTTTAGCAGGGAATGCCCTATAAGAAGCAGGCAAGCAGGACTAACCAAGGGAGAAGTTGAAGTGCATTGCAGAATTATTTTTTAACCTTTTGTCCTTTTTTTTTTTAAAGTCCAGAATCTTCATTAGAACATATCCAGTGCATGATACTTTTAGATCAATTTTCACTGGTTCAAATTATATTCCTTGAAGTCTCTCTATTCCTGAAAATTATTTTGGATTCAGGTTTTAATATATTTGTTCTAGCCTAATATTTTATTTTGTTCTTTTAGATTCCAATTGTACATATGTTGAATCTTTTTCTTGTACTCCATAAATCTTTTCCCCAAAAACTTTTTAAAAAAAATATTAGGCATAATTAGAATGAAATAAAGAACAGAGACTTTAAATTGTTATTTTAATGAGTTTTGACAGTTATATATGTCTGTACAATCACCAATCTGCTCAAGATACCAGAATTTCCCTGATGTCTCTTCTCAGTTAATTCCTTCCACGTTCAGAAAGCAACTGTTCGGAATTACATGATCTTAATTTTATCTGTTCTAATATATTACATAAATGGAATAATATTACATGCTTCTTTATGTACATAGTTAACATGGTGTTTTGAAGATTTATTCATTTTGTTGCATATATCAGTAAGTTTGTCTTTTTCTTTTAGCTTACTGTTGAAAGTATACTTAATTCAATAAGTTCAAAGTATTTATAGTGTACAATTTCAACAGATTCAATACACACATATGTAAAACAATCAAAATATTTTTTCCAGGATATTTATATTTTCTTCTAGTTTCTTGCTTCATCTGCCAGCTTGCTTTCATTTGGTTCCATTTTCCTATCACTTTTCCCCTGAGTTCATACATTTATTTCTACTTTGCCCTGGTAATTTTTGTTTATTTAGTTTGCCTCTTAGTAAAATATTTTCACTTGCTCTACAACAACTTAACTCTGGTAAAACTTGTTTTCCTATCATTTAGTTTTCTTGTTCTTTCTTCCATTTTTATTCCAGTATGTTTTTAAAGATACTGTGCTGGCTCCTTCTTTCAGGACTCATTTTAAGGGACTTTTTCTTGAAAGTTATATGGCAGAGTGACCTGGGGTATGTACCAGGCAAGTAGAATTTTATATATGCATTTGTTTCTCTTTTGAATTCTATTATCTAGGCTATTTTTGCTCCATTTGTTTACAAGTAAGTAATCTATATTCTTGGCTTCTATGAGAAAAGGCCCTTCTTGCAGATAAGACTTGTCTGTGTTATTCTTTACTCAGTTCTGCCTCTTCTTTTCTTTGAAAAAACAAACCAGTTCTAGGAAGGCAATATCATGAACTATTT